TTCCTAGGAGAGCAGACGTACCAAAAACAATTAGACAAACTGTACTTTCGTGTCACTCCTAAAAGGAAATACAGACTGCAAAATAAGTTAGGGATTCCAGGCGACCGCAATAAAACGGAGTACCATAACACGTGTAATACACGAGTGCATGTTATATTCTATTATGACATAACTCAAGTCCGTAACCAATTAGGGGTAGGCAGAGACCACGGATATTCATTTAGCGCCATCCTATCACACATCTCGTTTCATCTACTTGCATACATCTACGCATACACACACGTCAAATGTACACGCTGGATTCTTGATAAATAATCAGAATTAAAATACGTTTCAAGTACAAACTTCCTTATCGCATTATACACGTTATTTGTCGCACGCTCATGTTACCTACATCATTTGTTTGCTGACCGTAATCACTGCGCCATGTCATCTATTTTATATTTTACTGCTTGTTTGTGAATGCTTTGTTGCATACATTACATGACATACATCGTGCCGTGTACAGCAGTCGTATCGTATATCGAATAAATATTAATTTAATAACGGTGCAAAGTACATTTTAGTGCGAAATGATGAGAAAAATATTAGCAGCAGTGTTATGAGAATAATTTTATACATATTTCGTTCTTTTATCGTGATATCGTTATAACTTTTCTAACTAGGAGTGCCGAATCCGTGTTAAAGTAATTACCTGAAACTATCGGTGAGTTGTTTGTACTCGTGACCTTGACAATGTTTATTTTGGTCCATTGAAACTACGATAAACGATTTAGAACATATAGTTTAATATTATATCTATCAAATAAATGATAAATGAAGTATGAATTTAAATATATTTCTTACCTTCTACTTTTATTACAAAGACGTTATGCGTTTAAAATGTGTTTTTAAATGTTGAAACTAATTAAACAATGACGGTGCGAAGTCGGCACCTGTTAAAAACAAATACCACTAGCGACGAAGTTTGTTACAAATAATATTTACGTTAACTTTGCTGGTATTCATAATGGTTTAGTTTACATTTATTATTAGATATCGTCTTCCTTTAATAAAAACAATGTGTACAATATGCATGAACACTGTCGTATTATTTACGTAAAATGTAAAATAGTTTAGTTGTCTTGCAAGTGTGTTCTACAGTTATAAACCGATGCTTAACACATGTCTCGGGATTGTTTTCATCTTAATGAGTATTACTTGTTGTAAAATCGGTTGCATTATACGTGCAAATGCAACATTTTACATACTATTTGAAATGATGGAAATATAATCAACTTCTATAAAATATTTGCGGAAAAGAATGTATTTACTAAACGGTTTTTGACCGACTTCCCAAAAAAAGTAGGTACTCAATCCGTCTGTATGTTTTTTTTAACTCGTTTTGCCATGGTAAGTCTCAACTCACTTTAGACGCACTATATCAGGACTTAGGCTTTCGTAATTTATAATTATTGAGTGTGTTTATAGCGTGTTATGTTATGTTGGAGTCATTGTTGTTAATAAAATTTCATTTTTATATTCTTTATCAATATTTTAGATGACTTTGTTGTAAAATAACGAATTGAAATTCAACTCTACTGGTCTTTACAGATTCTCCATTTTTTATAGCGTTATTTATCAAAAGTTTATTGTAAAAAACATTTTTTGCTAAAAGATTATTTGTAGTCTTCTGTTACGTTCATTTTTATACTTTTGTCGTCATTTCTAAACTAGAGTAGAAAACAACTTGTATTTTGCTTTTCAAGCCTAAATTTACTTGCCAATAAATCAGAATAGAATTCATCTGACCTTCATTTATTCTTATACATTATACCCCTGACCTTTATTTTATTACTATTATAGATATGGCCATGTATAGTCTTATTTCCCTGTGTTATATCTATACTTAGTTTCCCAGTTTTTTGTTTTAAAATGTTGATTATTGTTAATTTGGCTTGTGACCTTGAAAGGTAACATAAAGTGACGTTTCGTAAAAAATAAACGACTTGCTGCTTATTTTAAAATATGTGCATATGTAAATGGTTAATTAAATCAAACTGATATAATAGCAGGTATAATGAATACAAAGTCAAAGAAACAAGGTCAATTGTTTGTTTTATTAATTCATTATAAACTATTAAATATTGACTGCATTTTTAGTTAAAGCTAAGGTAGTTTTAGTTGGTTTTTATTTTAAACTTTTACGCCCCACCTTAACCCGCACTGGTCCAGCGTGGTTGACTTTGGCCTAGGCACTCTAACTTAGGTTAAGCTCCGAGCCTTAGTGGGGACGTACGAGCTGGTGATGAAACTTGCACTATAAAATAACTATCTAAGCTTAATTTCAATAAAATAATAATTACTCAAGTTAACTTGTCAAATATGATTTAATGTTTGGTCAGTAATATTCGTATGTATCGAATTCATTGTATTATTTTGACCTTGACCTTGACCTACATAATTTGACTTTCTTATGTACTTGTATTGATATATACTAAATTGCTTCCCTGTATCAATCAAAACTATTGTTTTACTCGTATAGGAATAAACAAGTCTTAATTATTCACTATGTCATGTTTTCAAGTTTAAAAAACCTTTTGGTAAAACACTGTGCGTCGTTTTTGCGACTCATTGTTTTGGTATTCTCATTCTATTTTTATTTCCGTATTCTACATAAAAACAAATTATTATTATTATTATAAAACAATACATTAGTTTCAAATAAATCAATTTATTGTTTTCTTCGCTTACAGTGATAGAAGAGAACAAGAGCAACAGGCGATGCTGGAAAAGCAGCAGAAGGAAAAAGAAAGGGAACGGATAGAACGTGAACGCGAGAGAGAACGAGAAAGAGAGAGGGAAAGAGAAAAACAAGAAAGAGAGGAAAAAGAAAGAAGAGAACAAGAAAATGCCGCATCGAAGCTAGTTACGAGACATTTCGAGGAATCTCTTAGATTAGCCAATCAAAAGGTATATTTCTTACCCGAAAACATTATTTAAAAATACTCAATGTTTATTTGCACGGCATGGGAAGTACTTGTTGATTAAGAACAATATTTGAAAAATGTTGACATGTCGGTAACGTGTAAATTGTTGTTATAGCGTGAGCGGAGCATGTCGCAGCACGGGACCACGTGGCCGATGCTGAACAGCCTGACAGCGCGGGGCGTACCCCCGGGGCCGCCCG